AAAAATAAATAATTTTGAAAAATAAATAAAAATGTTAATAAAAAGTAAATTGTTAATAAAAAATAAATCATTAATAAAACCGCTCATTTTATTCTTGGATTTTTTTTTTCCTTCCTCCTTTCATCCTCCGTTCTCTCTCTCCTGCCCCTAACCGGGAAATTTTTGCGGAAGAGGCGCAACATGGCGCCCGGTGCTTGGAATAATCATCCAAGAGAATTTCTGCACAAAACAAAAAAAAAGGATTTTTTTAACCCATTTTTGCCAGAAAAAAATGGAGAAAACACAGGAAGGGAGGAGGTGAGCCCAGCCTGGCCACCGCCGGCGCGTTACAGACGTCAACCCACCACCAGGCTGTAGCAAAACCAGTTTAATGAGGAATTGGGTCAAACTGGATCCCAGTAGAGCAACTGGGCAGGTCCCGCTGCCAGCGCCGGGGGTCAGGCAGAGCCCAGCGAGTCCCGGGAGGGTTTTCCCGTCGCTTTCACTCCAGGTTTCGTTTCTGGGCAAGGAGAGGAAGAGAAGGAGTTAATTAACTGGGCAAACTGGGATTTGGGGCTTCCTCCACCAGTGTGCAACCAGCCCAAGGCCCCTCGGAGAAATATTTTCGTCTCCCCGGGCATCAGCCCCCTGGATTTCAAGCTCCCAACAGGCTGGGCTGCTCGCTCTGCCAAAACCAGGGACACCCCAGTCCTCCCAGTTTGCCCAGAAAAAAACAAAAAAACAAAAAACCTACCGGGAGCCCTGCTGTTGGTGAGGGCTGCGCTGCCGTCAGCCTCGGGGACACAAAGGTGGTGTTTGGGTTTGGTGGCCTCCAGCCCGGCCAGCAGCGTCATGAAATCGATGACAGTATCGATGTCCTCCTTGTTGGCGGTGGTTTCCCTCAAAGCGCTGACGGCATTGAGGCGGCCGAAGGAGGTGAGCTCGGCGATGTTGGCGCGGAGGAAGAGGAGGATGACGTTGAGGTCGTTGACGGGGCAGGTGAGCATTTTGCGGCTGAGGAGGTCGAAAGCGGGGAGCATTTCGTAAACGGAGAGAAGTCCCTTGTCCCACTGGCAGAGCTGCAGGGCGTTGTAGACGACAACGGGGACGAGGAGGACGTAGATGCCGCCGACCGAAAAGCTGATGAGCTGGAAGACGGAAAAAAAAACCAACTTGCAAGGGATGAGCGATGGGATGTGAGGTTCCGCTCGGAGCAGTCCTGTTTTGATGGAGCAGCTGAATTCATCCTGGAAGAAGATGTTGAGGTGGAGGAAGATGAGGTAGAGGCAGGTGGCAGCCAAGAAGATGAGGAGGAGGATGTTCCTCAGGATGTAGATGAAGGCTAAGGAGTGAGCGTGCTGCTTGCAGGTGAGATAACGCTCCAGCAACGGAAATTCAAAATATCGCTCCCGGCGAGCCCTGGGGACAGAGAGGGGATTTAGAGCCAGCTCTAAACCCCAAATTTCAACAAAAATTATCCTGAACGCGGCCATGACGCCACGCGGAGGGACTTCAGGGTGACGTGATGGTCTCCTCACCTCTCGTATTCCTCCCAGAATTGTTCCGGCTCGG